TTTCGCCTTTTGCACGCAGGTATCGCTGCAAACGAGTACTTTTCTACTTATATTGTTGGTAGGGACAGCAAAGAATGTTTCACTTCTAGTTGGATCCTCTTCTCTTTTTTTAAGCGAAGAAACTAGAAAAACAAGCCAATCCTCACAGTGAAAACAGATAATGAACCTAAAATATAAAAGAATCATATAGGAATAAAAGACTATCTGTTGCAACCTGGTTTAATAATTATGCTACTGTGCCGTGTCCAAACAATACATTAGAGATAAAAACATATTAGGTGTCAAACAAGCTTCCAGTCGAATCACCCAGATTGAAATTACAGACCGAAAAAAAAGAAAAGCGACAATGATTATGGTGCGAAGAAGTCAATGTAGAGGAGCCCATATTGGCTTCTTTTTTTTATTTGTAGTAACTCTTCACAACGTGAGCGACTATGACCCTCCGCAACTTCCTATCCTTTGCTCTAAGCAGTGTTGACCTTTTACTATGCCTCGCAGTCTTCATTCTGTCATCCATTTACACAATCTCATTAAGCTGTCATGTCTCTCCACAACTTCCTATCTTTTGTAGTTCTAAGTAGTGTTGTTCCTTTACTACCCCCAGTTCCTGTTCTGTCATCCATTTACACAAACCGGTTAAGCTGATCATGGTTCTCCACAACTTCCTATCCTTTGTAGTTTTTTTCAATATTTGTCTTTTTAATATCTCTCCCAGTCCCTGTATTGCCATCCATTTACACAAGCTCGTTAAGTAAGTTGATCATTGCTCTCCACAACTTCCTATCCTTTATAGTTCTAAATAGTGTTTTTCTTTACTACCTCCCAGTGCCTGTTCTGTCATCTTTTTACACATGATCGTTAAGGTAGGTTATTAGATATTTCTCTTTCTCCCTTTGAGTGTTAAAATCTCCAAGCTCTTTTCCTCATTAGGTGACAAATAAAATTCAACTGTCTGTTTTTGTTTCCAATTTTCTCCAAACTTTCTCGTTGATTCTATATTCCCCCTCCTCGGGAACCATCTCTTCTCATATTGCCTTTCAATCTGTGATGAAATTGCCCAGTGTACACTGCCATATTTTTATTAATGTTTATACAATACAGGACCCAAGAGCCACTCAACGTAGAGTCTTATTGCGTGGTGTCGTATGATCGTAATAAATGGTAGGAAGAGAAGTTCATGGGGCGATGTAGGAAAGATAATGGCTAAGTCTAAACTTCAAGAGGTTATTATTGTTGTGATTGGGAAAACACAAGAGAATGAACAAACTTTATTTTTATGTGCCGTGTTCTTTCAGGACGTAGGCAATCATGACTCTCCACTTCTCCCTATCTTTTGTAGCTCTCAATAAGTTTTGTCCCTCTACCACCTCCCCCAGAGCACGTTCTGTCATCTACTTGCTTAAGCCCGCCAAGGATGTCATGCGTTGCTTTCCCTTGTCGCTCTTTCCTTCTATTCGACCTGTGAGTATCAGATTCTCCAGACCCTCTTTTCTCATTACATGTCCCAGAAACTTCAGCTGCCTCTTTCTGATATTAAGTATAAGCCTTCTCCTTATTTGCATCCTCTCCAAAACCTCATCGTTGCTCACACGTTCGCTCCATGATATCCTCAGAACAATACCTCCGTTGCCTCGAGTCTCTTCGTCATCTTTGAGGAGACCGTCCAACATTTGCTGCCGTAAGGGAGGACAGATGTCACGTAGCGACTTAATTCACTTTTTTTGTTGTTACTAAAGAAATCATCCCGTGTCGGAATACTCTGCCCAGTTTTTGGAATGCGTCCTTGGCCATCCTAATACGCCAGCGGTTCTCAATGTCACATTTAGCGTCCTCTGTCAAAACACTTCTCAGATATTTAAACTTCCGCAACTGCTTGATTTTAGCGTCCCCGACCCGCGAATCGCATTTCGGGCGAAAATGATGACAATATATTCTTTTGTTTATGTTCAGCCCCTCCTCTGGCTCTCCTTCGCTACCTTCTGTAGGAGGTTTTGTAATTTCGTTTCCGTGTCTGCTATCAGTACTGCGTCGTCTGCGTATCTTATGTTGTTAAGATTGTGGCTGTCAATGCTAAATCTCGATAGGATTTCCAATTCTCTCAGAACTGCCTCGCTGTATAGGTTGAATAAGATCGGTGAGAAAATACATCCTTGTCGCACGCCGCTTTCTATTTTTGCATATTCGCTGAACTTCTCTATGCGTATGCATTCTGTTTGCTGTCAGTATAGGTTCCTGATTATTCTAATATCTTCCCCGAATATATCAATATCTTTGTGGCGTACTTTGTCGAAGGCCTTTGCGTAGTCTATGAAACATAGGTACACGTCCTTCTGCATTTGTATTGCTCTTTCTGATAACATTCTGAGCATGAATATCGCGTTCCTTGTTCTAGTGTCTTTAGCGAAGCGGCACTGTTCTTGTCCTATCTCTGGCCTGATTCTACTGCGCGCTCTATTCATCAGAATACGGATGATGAGTTTTGTTACGTTGCTCATTAGGCTGATTACTCGGTGGAACCATAAACCTAAACAGGGAACAAGGCATACACGTCTACTCTTGTTCAAAGACTGGGGAAGAGTATGCATCGGACGATAGCCGAACCTATCTACTCCTATTGAGAAACATAAATAAATAGTAAATAAAAATTTCAAAGCTTAGGCGGAGACTTTAGACGTATTGAGTTGAAATAGACTTTAGACGGGACCAGAAACTGGAAACAAGAGATAAACCTCTACTCCTGTTCAAAAGACCGAGGAAGTGTGTGGCCGGACGATAACCGAACCTATCTACTCCTATTGAGAAACATAAATAAATAGTAAATAAAAATGTCAAAGTTTAGGCGAAGACAGAAGTATAGAGTTGATGTAGACTTTTGAAAAAAGTATTTGATATTACAGAACAACTTGACACTATTTGTTATTTGTGTCTAACGACATTTTACTTTTTCTTAATACTTCAATGTCGTCATTGTTCACAGTGTCATTTCATCCTTCTTCTTTCTTTTTTTTCTTTCTTTCTAAAGAAACTTTGCCCGTTTCTTAATATTTTGTTTAGAGTTTGAAAGGCATTTTTCGCTATTCCAGTGTATCTCCAGATTTCTGTCACGTTTTCTGTTTTTACTGGTGACAATAACGGTTGAGACCTTATGCATCATGAAGCGATTCCCTAATTCGCTTGGATAAATACGATTTCATTCTTCGATGTGAGATGGTGTGCAAACAGCAGATAAGACGAATAAAACAAAGTGTGACGCTAAATAATCTTCTTTTGTCGACGTCTTCCGTAGTTACATACACTACAAGACAAACGTTTGTCGATATCCTGCACTTCTTTAAAAAAAAAAAACATATGTGTATATTCTTTTTAAGTATGAGATAAAATGTCATTAACTACAGTGTATTTGCTTTTATTTTGACAAAAAAATAAGCACTTCAGAATAAAAAAATATCATACAACAGCATCATATTTTGTTTTCGTCAATAAAACCGCCACGAAGACGAATCCAAAATTTTAACGATTTTGGTAGACTAAAAAAATAGAAAATACACTGTAGGTATTTACATTTTATCTTTTACTTAACAAAATACAAAAATATGTAGTGTATGTACCTCAATTTAGTAATTGTCAAGTAGAAATCTTATTGTCAGTTATTCGGTCTCTGAATTCGTTTTTAATCATTAAACTCCAAGAAAGGCGGCGGAGTAACTAAGACACAAGCGGGTTAATGAAAATATAAGAAGCCGAGAAAACTTTGTTGAGGAGAGAGGACAATAAAAGAACAAGGTTCAAGGGGGCAGAAGGTGACGACTAAGCTTGCATTTGAATTTTTGAAGAACGTAGTTGAGGAGAAAGTAAGAATCCGAAAGAAAGCTCCACAGGTGAGACAAAAGGAATGTCTTCCACTGTTTCTGAAACCAACTGTGGCCGTTACAAGTGCTTCAATGGTTCTTCTAGTCCGCAAAAATAGAAAGGGGTGTAAGATAAGGGTATGTCTTCTCATCGGATTTATTTAACTTTTACAGCGAGGCAGTCGTAAGTGAGCTATGAGTTCTACCAGGATTTAAGATTAGTGGACACAATCTTAACAACATAAGATACGCAGATGACATCTCGTTGTTGGCAGACAGAATAAAACTGCAAGAACTCGTTGGCAATATATTAAAAGAAAACGAGAAGAAGGGACTAACAACTAATTGTACGAAGAAAGAGTGTATGATTGGCAACAAGAGAATCAACCCAAAATGCAAGCTACAGATTGGAAATTTCAACAAAATATTGCTAAAAGATACAAAGGATAGGAAATTGTGGAGAGCCATGATTGCCAATATCCTGAAGAGACACGGCATATAGAAGAATAAAAATAAATTATACATTTTTGGGAAGGATAGTGTGGCGGTTTCACATTACTTTTTCTGTGCCTTGGAATTCTGATTTTCCTTTGCCGAGAAGAACTGCAAAGGAAATTGTGGAGAGTCATGATTTCCCACCCCCGACACGGCACATAGAAAAAGATGAGTGACTGCCACCCAAAGCTGCGATTTTTAGCGCATTTGCGCGCGGAAGAAGTGAGGTTTTGCTATGTCTATCTAAATGGATTCCGATTCCGATATCTGTTACACTAACTGCATATCTTCGGGGTGTTTGTGGGTAAAGGAAGAAAAATGAAAATTGGGACCATCTGCTCTTGACTGGAGTGGTTTGACAATAAGTCAACGGTTTCGAATGGGTCAACCCGTCCCTATTCGCTAATGACTCACGAACTGGTCGTGTTTACAAGCAAAACAAAATGAGCTTCTCCTTCCCAGAACTTCACCTCTATTTGTCGCTTCAATCTGTTTCCGCTTTGAGTAAAAACATGGCGGATAGATTGACAACAGGGCAATTTTGGACAGTCAGTTTTGAAGTAATTATTCACGACAGGGGAAATCTTTCTTTTTTTTATTTCTACAGTTTATTAGTGTATTTCGTCTTATTTTAATTTAATCACTCTTTCTACTTTGATGTCATTTTTCACTCTTTTTTTCCGTATTTTTTACTTTCTTTTTCACTTGTTTCTTTCTTTCTTTCTTTCTTTCTTTCTTTCTATTTCTTCCTTTTTCCATTTCACTTAAACAGACGCTAATCGCCCGATAGTGACATTCTATCTTTCTTTCTTTCTTTCTTTCTTTCTTTCTTTCTTTCTTTCTATTTCTTCCTTTTTTCCATTTCACTTAAACAGACGCTAATCGCCCGATAGTGACATTCTATCTTTCTTTCTGTCTTTCTTTCTTTCTTTCTTTCTATTTCTTCCTTTTTTCCATTTCACTTAAACAGACGCTAATCGCCCGATAGTGACATTCTATCTTTCTTTCTGTCTTTCTTTCTTTCTATTTCTTCCTTTTTTCCATTTCACTTAAACAGACGTTAATCGCCCGATAGTGACATTCTATCTTTCTTTCTGTCTTTCTTTCTTTCTATTTCTTCCTTTTTTCCATTTCACTTAAACAGACGCTAATCGCCCGATAGTGACATTCTATCTTTCTTTCTGTCTTTCTTTCTTTCTATTTCTTCCTTTTTTCCATTTCACTTAAGCAGACGTTAATCGCCCGATAGTGACATTCTATCTTTCTTTCTGTCTTTCTGTCTTTCTTTCTTTCTATTTCCCCCTTCTTTCCATTTCACTTAAGCAGACGTTAATCGCCCGATAGCGATTTACTTTCTTTCTTTCCTTCTTTCTTTCTTTCTTTCTTTCTTTCTTTCTTTCTTTCTTTCTTTCTATTTCCCGCATTCATCTATCTTTTCTTCTTTTCTTTCTTCTATCCTGCACATATTTTTTCTTTCTTTCATCTTCTTTTATCTCCTCGACTTTCGGGTTTTTTTTGTTTTGTTTTTTCGTATCTTTTCTTCTTTTCGATGTTTCTTTCGTATCTTATTTCCAACTCACATTTTCTTCTTTATTTCTTCTTCGTTTCGCTGCACAGCTTTCTACTTTCCTACATGCATTTCCCTTTTCTTTCTTTCATCTTCATTTTTCTCTTTGACGTTCTTCTTGTGTTTCTTTTTCTTTATTTTTCCGTTAATCTCTTCCACTTTCTGTCGTTTCTTTTCTTGTTTTTCCTACATACATTTCTATTTTCTTTCTTTCTTTTTTTTCTTTTCTTTTCTACACACGTTTCTTTTCCTTTTTCATAATTTAAAAAAAATCCTTCGTCACTTTTATGTATTCAAAATTTAAAAAAAAATACTTTTTCCATTTTTTTTTTTTTCTCGGATTTCTTTTTCGTCTTATCTTACTTTTTACTTCATTTTTTTTTATCTTTAAAATGTCTATTGTTTGAAATGTTTTGTTCATTTTAACTTCCATTTTTTTCTTTCTTTTTTATTTCATTTTCTTTTACGTCGATTTCTTCATTTTCTCTTTTCTTGTTTTTCTTTGATCGCATTTTTTAGAGAAGTAAAGAGTGCAAGTGTTTTGTTTTTCTTTTCGTCCTTTTCTTATTTAACAGTTGTTATTTTATGTTGGCCCAGGGATATTGCTAAGAGGAGAGGATCTTGAACACTTTCAGATGAAAGGCACGTTTACATATTCACATACACACAAGCATACACACGCGCGTACACACATACATGTATTCGCGCACTCACACATACACACACTCACATGCGCACCCAAATACTCACACAATCACTGACAATCATTCACACGCTCATACACACGCACAAATCCACGCACACATAAACTCACACACCAACCCACTGAAGCACACATCCTCAAACATATACACTGACACACACTAACGCATACACTCACGCACAAATATACATAACACATACATGCGGACACAAAGTCCCACACACATACACTCGCACACTATCTTGCACTAACGCACACACATTCACACACTCACGCACACACAATTTCACACACACATACACATACACACACACCCATTCTCCAACACACACACACACACATATATATATATACTAGCTCGCCACTCGTATTCATGGATATCCGTCTACTCGGGCGGCTAGCCAATTCCTATTGCAGAGGTTTGCTCGGGCACATTTGCTCAACACCCACAGAGTCCATCTGTGGTTTATACTGCAACTATGCTGAGCAGACTTTAGTTACAGTTTCTGGGAGAGAGTGTGCTATCTAGCCTGATCTACAATCTGAACAAGGCCAGCACACTCAGTCCCTCGGTCACGATGGCACAGCTATTGACAGCCCCAAGTGTTCCGTCTACCCAATTTCACTCACAAGGCTTGGGTCAACCCGTGTTATGGCTTTCAGGCACTTTTCAAAGGTGTCGCACGCTGGGGTCGCCACCTCCAGACCGATAACATCAGGAAGTTTCCATCCTGACAAATCAACCGTAGTGAGATTCGAACTTGTTCTGACCTCTCGGCCCATATCGGTCTCTCTCTCTCTCTCTCTCTCTCTCTCTATATATATATATATATATATATATATATATATATATATATATATATATATATATATATATACTAGCACTCACACTCATTTGTTTGTACACGGACTCCAAAAGATGAGAAAAAAATGAATCGACGCAGTTAGACACAAAAACCTGCCCAGGTTTCTTAAAAACAAAAACGCATTCATATATAGTAGAACAGAAGACGGACATACGCGGATAAAAATGCAGTCGTTCAAAAAAGAAATTAAATTAAAAGTAAATATATACCTTGTTAGTCAGTGTGCTCCACTTCCTCATTTTTGGGGGTCAGCAAAATTAAAATAAGTGGCATTTTTACGAGAAAAACAAGAAAATATTCCTTTCGGTATTTTATAAAGAGAGGGCGCATTTCTCAAGAATAATAGACACGTTTTATGTACATATTAAGAACAAACAGCATGTCTGATAAAAGGTCACAGTTGTTGGGTGCCGTGTGAAGATAAAAATTATTGCAATAGCAAATTATTATTTTATTACTTTTATTCTTGCCCTGATATGTTAAAATGCGTCTTTATTTATGTTCCCTGTCCCTTCAGGACGTGGACTATTATGGCTCTCCACAACTTTCTATCCTTTTTAGCTCTTAACAATATTATTCCCTTTACCATTCCTTCCATGTCGCATTCTGTTATCCATTTACACAATATGTTAGATTCGTAACTCGGCGTTTCTACCTGCTTCACTTATCTTCAATATGTCCAGTGAGTATCATATTACTCAAGTCTCAGAAATTTCAATTGTATCTTTCTGCTATACGTTTCAATTTTTAATGGCATTCTCAGAGCATCCTTCTGTAGAACCACATCACTGTTGTCTCAAGTCTCCTCTTCATCTGCGAGAAAATTGTCCAGCATTCACTGCCATAGAGGAGGACTGATATTACACATCAGTTCAGGGCGGTTTTCTTTGATTCTAACGAAATCTTCCAGTTTCTTAATATCCTTTCTAAACTTCTGGAAGGCATATTTCGCGTCTTCGGATTACTGCTATATTAACGCTTCAAAATAAACTGCATACACACGCACATAGGCACACATGCACATATACACACAATGTATTGCAGATATCAATTAAAATATATTTCGTGTATAAAACGCAATTCTCCCGATTTTAAATCTACTAAAACGTAGGGGCGCGTATTATACACAAGAAATAACAATTAACTTTATCTCTGGCTATATTCATAGCCATGTTCGGGACTGTATGAGAATAATTAAGTTACATCTATTGTCCAAAATTACTAATGTGAAAGAAAGTTTTAAATTACTAATGAAACACTACAATTTATTATTATTATTATTATTATTATTATTATTATTAATATTATTTGCAAAGCGAGCGAAATAAAGGGTTCAGTTCGACATTCCAACCGGGGTAAATTTTCTAGTTCCACGTGTCATGCCTCTTTCATATGTCTCAGTTATTTCCCTTTTAACTTAACTCTCCAAGTTTTGGTTCACCACTGCTGTGACCTGGTATTGAACGCACAACTCTTTGAGTGTAGCCAATGGATCTAACCAACGTCTTTATCCACTGGGCCTTGTGCCTTTGACATTCCAATCACCTGAAGAAGACCGGATGAAGATAACAGTCCGAATAATGTAAATAATGCAATTAATCATAATACCTCATCTCAGAGATCCAATCACCTGAAGAAGGCCCGAGCGTACAACGGCAGAAACATTGGGATAAATATGGCAACAAAGATGAGGACAATAGTACGAATAATGTACGTATTTATCTATATAATGTGATCATTACAACAGGGATTGTCAGTGTGTTTAGTAACTCCCCCTTGGGACCGCTATAAACCCTCAAGTAGATAGAATGTACTCAGTGATCTGGTCGCTAAACGATATGGGTGCAAAGTGAGAGGTTATCCTTCACTTGTATTTCAAGCATACTCCGAATGTAATGGGTCTGTGACAACCAGCTTCAGAAAGATTTAATTTAACTTTTGCATCATTTTAAATATTTCTAATTTATAGTGTATAGTAGAGTATTGAATTAAAAGTAATCGGCAAATTCGAAAAACTTTTGGCTGAGCTTGTGCTGATCTATTACGCACGAACATACATACATACAAAATACAAATCACATACAACGCCAAGCATTCATTGGTTAATTAATCACTACTACGTTATTATAGACAGTTTACAAATCGCAGCAATGCGACAATTTTGTAATCACTCAATTTATATGTAGTCAGTTTTGTGCACTTTTGGGAGAAACGGATCACAGAAGCTCGCTCGCTGATTGGTCGATGACAACCAATCAGATCGTCTGCACGTGAAGAATAATTTTTCCCGCGGAGCGATCTGGAGCCTGCAGTCACTTATTTAAGCAAGAGTTTTCTAACCCTCATTAGTGAGATTTCAGCTGCCAAACGAATCCACGACAATTGAAACCATGGGCCAACTTTCTCACTCACATGCTGAACATACCTTGTATATACTCACATAAACTTTTCTTACACTGCAAAAGCTTACAAGTACAAACATTACAAGAGACTCTCATGAACATTCTCCCAATGAACTTTGGAACACTATAATAACAGTTAAAGAGAGACAACTCTTGGTTTATTCAAACTTTTCTTACTTAAATGCATGCTTTCCTTCACATCGTTGTTTGATATTGTACATCTTGTTAAATACATATTTTATGTGTAACAATGTCTTTTGGTTATCCTTTTCTGCGTCAGCCCTGTTTCCAAATCTAAAATTAAATTAATGTGGTGAAGTACGCCACAAGCACTTCGCTATAGTACATAAACATTTAGAATTTAAGCGCAGTAATAGACAGTAACTCCTATGCTAACAATTTCTTTTCTTTCACTTCTGCCTTGTGCAACTCTCTTCCAGCTCCATGCTTTCCAGACAACTTTAATCTGAAAAAATTTCAATGCAATATCAATCGCTATCTACTTCCTCCTGATTTCTCTTTTCTCTACCCCTTATTATAAATGTTTCTGTTTCTAATTCTTTCACCCCCTGTAACCCCTTGTTTCTTAGTGATAAGGTCGGGGTAACTATAGTTACAGTTTTATACAGATTTGAAACATTTTGCTGCAACTGTGAGATGAAAAAAAATGACATTTTCTACAGTCTCACCCGACAGCTATCAATTGGTTGTTCTCGCCACAGCTTACTTCCGCTGCTAATTATAGCACTCTCATTGAACATATATGAGACATGATGGGACGACGTCTGACTCGTTTAGATAACCCACTTACAACTCTTGTCGCTGGGTTACGTCAACAAATGTAAAAGGCATAGAAAAATATACCGCAGGATGGTATTCGTAGCAAAGCCTAAACACGCGAAATTAATATATTGCATGAAATTTGGTCTTCTTACTAATGTAATTTTACCAATGTCATGCATGTTGACCGCTGTCATATATGTATTAAATAGACTGATTATAAAAAAGACGCGTGTGTTTTAGTCAAAAATCAAATTTTGTATACAGTTTGCAAATGTTTTCTATGAGCGATTAATAAACGTATGTGTATATATTCTCTATGAGGGATTAAAACAACCCTGGGTAATCGTCTTGGGAAAGACGATAATACTATTGCAATGATTTGTCTAGAAGAGTATTGAATACTACTCTCACGGGTGACTCTGTTAAATTAAGTATTGTGTCTTGCCAGACCCCACACCACAAGAAATCCCATGAATTCCAGTAATACAGTTTTTCATTTGATAGAATTTAATGCGTAAATGTGTAAGTAAAATGTTCAGTCTTAGTAAAGAAAGGTCTTAATCTCTATTTGTTCGAAGAATTGCCTTTCAGTTATAAAAAGGTCTTCCTACAAATGGTTTGAGACAGCGTGTATGGACGTTGAAATAGAGAGACTGAACTCTGGTAATGTCTCTGTCATAACGTGCTTCTTTATAGATCTTGGTGTTTTTCGTACGCGTGGAATTGTTCCTGTTTTGTCCTAAAATTCTCTTCCATTATCTGAAGCTAACTTATAGCATGACTGGAACTGGTGTGTGGAGCCCACGACCAGGAAATACATTTTCATGCTACTCCCATTAATGTAGAGGCGTAAACTGCTGGCTAGTTTCTCCAGCGATCTCCCACAAGTTAATTTCTACCGAAGTGCTCAAAGGATGTGTCCTTGTTCCACAGTTATTCTCCGAGAAAAATGTACATTTCCAATCCAAAACAAAATGAATCAAAATCTTGAAATATTCCTGATACCCGTTGACTGCAAATATTTACACTCACAAATGACCTCGATTCTTGCTGAGTTATATATTTGTTAAACGCCTGGCTGCAATTCAACAAATTCCTCAATAAGCCTCCGAAAAACATGATGCTAATTATTAGGTTAAAGATTATAGGGCGTGTGCTTAAAAAGAAAAAACGAGTTGAAATGGCGCTAACTTCATGAGCAAAACCACATGTCCAATGGTGGGACGCAAATGGCAAACATTAATATGTGCGACACGCAGCGCATAAGATTTGTTTTACTATTGATTCGCCATCTTGATTTCTTTTCTTTGCATTTTCTTCCCACAGCTTTCGTTCGTTCTTTCTTTCTTTCTTTTTTCTTCCCAATGTTTATTTCTTTTTGTCCCTTTCTCCTTTCATTTCTTTCTTTCTTTTCTTTTTTCTCCTTTCATTTCTTTCTTTTCTTTCTTATCGTTTCATATCTTTTTTCTTTACATCATTTCATCCTTTCGTTTCGTCACTTTCTTTCTTTCTTTCTTTCTTTCTTTCTTTCTTTCTTATCGTTTCATATCGTTTTTCTTTACATCATTTCATCCTTTCGTTTCGTCACTTTCTTTCTTTCTTTCTTATCGTTTCATATCGTTTTTCTTTACATCATTTCATCCTTTCGTTTCGTCACTTTCTTTCTTTCTTTCTTTCTTTTTTCTTTCTTATCGTTTCATATCGTTTTTCTTTACATCATTTCATCCTTTCGTTTCGTCACTTTCTTTCTTTCTTTCTTTCTTATCGTTTCATATCGTTTTTCTTTACATCATTTCATCCTTTCGTTTCGTCACTTTCTTTCTTTCTTTCTTTCTTTCTTTCTTATCGTTTCATATCGTTTTTCTTTACATCATTTCATCCTTTCGTTTCGTCACTTTCTTTCTTTCTTTCTTTCTTATCGTTTCATATCGTTTTTCTTTACATCATTTCATCCTTTCGTTTCATCACTTTATGTCTATCTTCCTTACTTAGCTACATTTTATCAGTATATTTTTGCTTACGTTTTTGCTTTTTTCACCTTTATTTTTCTTCCCTCATTTATTTTATCATTAAAATCAAAACGAAACAAAAAAAATGAAATAAATAAAATATTCAATAGAGCATATAATGAATAAAACTGAAGATAGGTAAAATAGTAATAAAGCACACACACCTATCACGTAAAGATCATTACTTATGCATCGTTATTTTTCAATATAAACATTTCGTCACAACGATCTTTGGACGAAAAGGAATAATTACTATTTATATCATATTTTCCAGTTAATTTTATTATTATTATTATTATTATTATTATTATTATTATTATTATTATTATTATTATTATTTTCTTTGATTTCTGGCGTTTTACATTTCTTTCCGGGTCCCCCCAGGGACCTAAGGTTAGAAATGGCGTCATGACACTTTCCACTGACAAGAGAAAAAAAAATTAAATTACATAGATAAAGCCCTTCGTAAGGTGTGGGATGTACTTATCAGAAAATTTTTTTGTATCTCCTTGAGGCATGGACTTCCAGGGATCCCTTCAATTAGTCTACTGCAATCTTTTCCAACTAGTCCTAGGGTTCCAACTACAACAGGGATTGTTGATGTTCCCATATGCCACATTTTCGGATTCTTCGGCGCGTGTTTTTTTTTTTTTTTTCATTTTCAACCGATTTTGCATTATGGGAGTTCTTCATCAAGTCGTAGAACCTCAGACATATACCACCTTTTGCAGAATATTCGCATTGCCAAGAAAGAAATACATCTGAGCGTCCTGGGTAAGACGATAAACTTCATCCGACAGCAAAGCCTCTGATCAGGAAGTTTTGAGGAGTGTGTAGCTACCTCTTAATTGATGGTGTTCCCTGGTCCACCTTGGCTCGTGGTGGTAGCACCTGTTAGGGTATCAGCTATGGGCAAATAGTTAATCCCAAACTGGAGTCAAAACACTATGAAAGTGTAAAAAACAAAAAAAAATTTTAATAACAGTAACACATTTTTGTAAAAAATTATTACCAGCAATGAATTTTTGAAGAAAATAATTATTACCAGCAATGAATTTTGAAGAAAAAAATTATTACCAGCAATGAATTTTTTAAGAAAAAATTATTACCAGTAAAGAATTTTGTAGAAAAAAATTATTACCAGCAATGAATTTTTGAAGAAAAAAATTATTACCAGCAATGAATTTTTGAAGATAAAATTATTACCAGCAAAGAATTTTGAAGAAAAAATATTACAGCAATGAATTTTGACGAAAAATTTTTTTTACCACCAACACATTATTACCAGTAATACATTTTTGAAAACTATTACCAGCAATAAAAATTTTGTCGACATTAAATAACTCATTGAGATTGATATGCCGTAAAATAAAACAAACCAAAGCAAGCGATGGGATTCTTTCTATGTTCTGTGTCCCTTGAGGACAAAGGCGATCAAGACTCTCCATTTCCCCTATCCCTTGTAGCTCTCAATATGTTTGTCTTTTTGCTACTTCTCCCAAATCCTGTTCTGTCATCCACTTACTTAAGCTCGCTAGGTATGGCACGCGTTGCTTGTTAGACATTTTCATGACGGTCGTCCTCGAGTATAGAATCCAGAGGTTGGCAGTGAATATTTCGGAGACAGTAGGAAATCGTAGTGCAGGTTCACAGTGGATATCGTAGCAGAGCGTAGTTCTTCCGTGTGTCATGTTCGGCGGACAAGTTGCCTCTGGTCCTTCCGCTAGGAGAAACAAAGATGGCCGCCTTTATACACGACGAATGCAGTGCTGTGCGGCTTCTGATTGGTCAACCTTCTATTGGTCGACTATAAAGGGAAATAAGTCATTCTGACTCGCTCACTAGTTATATACGATATACTCAAAAAACCGTAACATTGCTTTCCCCTGTTTCTTCTTCTATCCAACCTGTGAGTATCAGATTCTTCAAGCCCTCCTTTCTCATTACGTGTCCCAGAAATTTCAGCTGCCTCTGCTAGATGTTAAGTATAAGCTTTCTCCTTTTTTGCATCTTCTCCCAAACGTCATCATTGCTCACATGCTCGGTCCATGATATCTTTAGCATCCTTCTGTAGAACCATACCTCCGCTGCCTCGAGTCCCTTTTTCATCTTTGAGGAGACCGTCCAACATTCGTTGTCGTAAAGAAGGACAGATGTCACGTAACAGCTCAGTATTCTTTTCTTTGTTACCAAAGAAATTCTCCCGTATGGCAATACTCCGCCCAGCTTTTGGAATGTGTCCTTAGCCATCCCAATACGTGTACGGATCTCAATGTAGCGCTTACCGTCCTTTGTCAAAACATTTCTGAGATATTTAAATTTCTGCACCTGCTTGATCGCATTTTTTTTTTTTACTGAAGACCATGCATTCTGTCTTCTTGTATTTTATGGTTAATCACTTCTTCTCTCTCTCCTTCGCTACCTTTCCGTATCTGCTATCAGCACTGTGTCATCTGTGTATCTTATGTTGTTAAGATTGTGGCCGCCAGTGCAGAATCCCGGTAGGATTTCCAATACTCTCAGAACTGCCTCGCTGTATAGGTTTAATAGGTCCGGTAAGAAGACACATCCTTGCCTTACGCCCCTTTCTATTTTTGTATATTAACTGAACTCACTCACTATGTGCATGTGTGCCGTTTGCTGCCAGTATAGGTTCTTGATTATTCGAATATCTTTCCCAAATATATCGAGGTTGCCGAGCAGTTCCAACAGATCTTTGTGGCGTACCTTCGCGAACGCCTTTGCGTAGTCTATAAATCATAGGTGCACGTCCTTCTGCATTCGTATTGTTCTTTCTGATAGCATTCTGAGCATGAAGATTGCGTTCCTTGTTCCAGTGTCTTTAACGAACCCGCACTGTTCTTGTCCTATCTCTGGCCTGATTCTTCTTTACGCACTATTCGCCAGAATACGGATGATGAGTTTTCTCATGTCGTTCTTTAGGCTGATTGTGGAGTTTACATTTGTTTGTGCCTGGTTTCTTAGGAAGTGCTACGAAAATTAAGACGAAAAATAGGCCCTAACAAAGGGCGAAAGAACTCTCGATGAATCAATGGTCAGCTAACTAGAGGTAGTGTCTCCATAAACCACTGTGGAGAAGGCAACGAGAAACCACTCTACAATTAATACCAAGAAATATCATGACAAATAACACAATATGAAACCTAACGGCGTGAAGGGGGTTAAGATTATAGGAATTAAATCCTCGACCAGTAAGGACCGACATCTGCAACCGGTGTCACTTGACTGCCATCAGCACAAACGGCGTAAAGGGGATAAAATTTCTTCGGAATCTATCCCTCACCCGGAAAGGAGTGACATGAGCGATAGGTGTCACCGGACCGTTAGTTTGCGACTGTGAGCATCGAACAAAAAGTAACTCTCGGGACATGGAACGTTCGAACGTTGAATAACTGTGGCCTGTTAGATAATGTAAGACAAGAGATGAATAGGCCAAATATCAACATCTTAGGTGTATGCGAATCTAGATGGCCAAACAAGATTTTGTCAGTGACAATCACAGGATCATTTATGCAGACGGAGAGAAAAACGGTAAACGAGTAGGATTGATACTAGATCAAGAATTCAAGAAATGTGTTCTGGGATACTACCAATTATTCGAAAGAATTCTGGTTGTCAAGTTGAAAGGAAAGCCTTTCAACGTAGCTATCATAATAGTGTATGCACCGACAGCACAAAGTAAGGAAATAGAAATCGTATCTTTCTACTCCATGCTAGACAATGCCAAGGCTCATTGCAAATCGCAAGATATAATTATCATGGGAGACCTGAACGCCAAAGTAGACATGGAGAAGACAGAGGGTATAGCTGGAAAATTCGAACTAGGGACCCGCAACGAACGTGGAGAAAAATGAATCCAATTGTGCACGATCAATGACCAATGACTAATGGTGCAACGACCAACACATGGCTCCAAGAACATCCGAGATGATTATGGACATGGAGGGGCACAGGATGAGAAACTAAAAACCAAATTGACTATATAAGTATCAATAAAAGATTCAGAAATGAAATGGTTCACTGCAAAACCTAACCAAGTGCTGACTGTGGAAGCGATCATCGCCCTGTTATATGTAAACTAAGAGTGAAACTGAAGAAGCCTAACGCAGCACCCAAATTGCAATACAACAGACTATTGAACGACCCGTACCTGAAAAAAGAATATATGGACAGTGTGAAAAGAAGATACGAGGGACAAAATGGAAATTGAAACTTGAAATGGGACACAAGAGAAGCTTTAGTGACATCAGCAAACGATATCATAGTATGGATGAAGAAGAAAAAACGATTGGATGGCTGATGAGATTCTAAAAATGATACAAAGGAGACAGAAAACAATGCCAAGATACGGAACAGAATATAGAAAACTACACAAGGAAATAAGGAGCAAATGCATTCAGGCTAAATAAGAGTGGCTAAACAAAAAATGTGCAGCAATATAGAGATTACCACCAACAAAGGAGATATGCATAAACAAATAAGAGAACTAACAGGACAGAAGACATGCTCGTCAACAGGCTGCTTAAAATCAAAGGATGGAACTCTCATATTAGAGAAGGAAAAAATTCTTCAGTGCTGTAACGAATATATTGGATAACTCTGAAATTTTAAAAACCTACGTAGAAGCAGCACTAGCGAAATTGAACGGAAACAAGGCGGCAGGGCCAGACGGAATTGTAAGAGACAGCCTTAGATGATTTGGGCATAGATAAGATTACAGAAATAATAAATTAAATCTACAACAGTGGTGATCTCAGAAGATCTATTTTCAAAGCACTGCCTAAGAAGCGATAGGATACAAGACTTTATTCTTATTTTCTCGAAATAAGAATTTAAGCTCGCTGGCTTTACAAAGAAACTAATATTGAACTGTTATGTAATATCAGTCCTCCTCCATACCAGTGAATGCTGGACAATCTTGATGAAGAAGAAACTTGAAGCAACAGAAATGTGTTTCTACAG